AGCAGGAAGGTATGAAACCTGCAACTCATCAGCTTGAAGTTCATCATCTTCCATTCTCCAGCCACTGACTGTGCCAGCCAATTTTGGAATTAAAATGTGTTCTGCAAAATCTCTTTCAGGGATGCATATAGGAAGCTGGTGGTTGTTGCACTCAACGTGCTCTTGGAGTTGTAGCAATGCAATGTTGTTCTCTCCAGTGTCCTCATCGTACCAGATGTGGATGTGTTTCTCACGAACTTGCACTGTCTTCTCAGTTCCACTTGTTCCATTACGCCCTGTGAAGAAATTATGTTTCACTGCTCTTAGGAACAGTTTATCAGAGACCTGAAAACTGCATGCAGACTGACACCTGCCTAGTCATGCTGTGAAGTACATGAAGTAGGCAAAGTAAAGGTGCTCTTTCTTGGCACAGCTGTAGTAAAAGTAAACTAGGAATGATACCTTGACAGCTTCTTAATACTGTATGGAAGCATGCTTCATTTCAGAAGGAAGGACAAATACCTAAGAGAAGTGAATTTTGGCAAATAACAAAGGCCACCTCTGAATCTCTCCGGTTTAGTTTATCCCTAGATGCTGAGTTCTAAATTGCATTTGAGAGGCGGTTGTCTCTCTGCTTATCTTGCAGGAGGTGTGGAGCAGCTGTAATTCTAGCTCAAGGTACTTAACTGAGATGCTTAAATGAGATTACAGCAGATTAATTTCCCCAAACAATTTTTTTTGTGCAGCAAACATTTTAGTAATTTTAGCTTTTTAAAAATTAGCCTGTTGATACTAGAATGTGTGACAGCAAGTGAAAATGTTTGATCACCTACCGGCACCCACCCTGATTTCAAAATGGCTGTGCAGAAGGGCACACTCAGCTGTAGTCAACACAAAGTTACTTTTTATCAGCACTCCCCCGCAGAAGCCTTTTCCTTCTGAGTTTAGCATCAGAACCTAAGAAAACGCAGAAAGATGCCCTGTCCATGTGAGGTCCAATGGCATCCTGGGGTGCATCAAGGAGAGTGTGGCAAGCAGCTCGAGGAGGTTATCCTGCCCCTCTACTCTGCCCTGGTGAGGCCCCATCTGGAATACCGCATCCAATTCTAGGCTCCCCAGTTGATGAGGGACAAGGAACTACTGGAGAGAGTCCAGCACAGGGCTACTGAGGTGGTATGGGGACTGGAGCAGCTACCATATGAGGGAAGGCTGAGAGAGCTGGGGCTGTTCGGCCTGGAGAAGAGGAGACTGAGGGGACATCTCATCAATGCTTATAAATATCTAAAATCAGGTGTCAGGAGGGTGGGACCAGTCTCATTTCAGTGCTGTCTAGTGACAGGACAAGGAGTAATGGTCACAAACTGGAACACAAGAGGTTCAACCCAAACAAGGAAAAAAATTATTTACTGGAAGGGTAGGAGAGCACTGGCATAGGCTGCCCAGAGAGGTTGTTGAAGCTCCATCTCTGGAGACATTCAAAACCTGCCTGGATGCCATCTTGTGCAGCCTTCTCTAGTGAACCTGCTCTGGCAGATTGGTTGGACTAGATGATCTCCAGAGGTCCCTTGAAACCCCTAACATGCTGTGATTCTTTGAATCTCTGAATCTGTGAAGTTGGGTGATGGGTTTCATGACATGCTAGAAATACCTGCCAAGGAAATCGCTCATCACGTTCCTTCCTGGTTTCACTTATCAAATTATCACTGTCTTGAAGTCTGCCACACGCACATTGATCTAGCAAATGAATGAAAAGAAAATAAAATAATCAAAACATTATGCTGCATCATTTCAAGACAATTACTACCTGCAAATACATTTGGGATTTCAATTTTGCACCAAGGAAAAGGAGAAGGATGATTTCTCAACTGGTTAAAATTGGAATAACTCACTTGGCATCTGTAGTCTAAAAGCTTAGCAACAGTGCTGAACATTTAGGGTCATTGTGTTAGGTTTGTAGTGACCAGATTTCTCTGTAACTAATGAAATGAGGCTTCCTCTCCAGCCAGCCATCAGCACAGCTTGCTTTCTCATGTTTGTATCCTGTATCTGAATTGCACTAAATACTTTGATAGCTGTGGTCCAGTCTGGACAAGGTAAATCCTGGGTTTTTCATAAAGCAGTTGTCTGCATTTACCTCACTTTCTGTTCACCTTGTGGTATATTCTTGGGTCACATGAACTGGATTCTGTTCAGGTAAAGCTAAACCAGAAGACATCCTTCAGGAGTACACAACATACTCTCACAGCTAATGGGTGCTTAGTCCACAGGATTAAAGTAGAGCTACACTGAAGCAAAGCAACCTGAAATATGCATTGAATGTCAACATCAAGCCTTCATCACCAAAAACGTGGTTCCACAGCTCAACTTCTATTAAGCTGCCCTATTTGCTAATACAGACCAAGGCCTAAGCATACTTGTGTTTTTAGAAGACCTAGTTTGTAAGGGGATACATAGTATGAGATTGAAAAATTGAAGCGGACTACTGCTTCAAAATCTACTGTTTCAAACTCATGAACATGGTGGTAAACGTTGCCCTTCATTTATCAGGCCGTCAGATGCCAATCTGCATCAGTAGAACCTCATTTACAAGCAGACCTTCAGTGGAGTTACTCTTTACTGAGCATGGGAGTAGAAAACCTGGCACAGCTAGTGATATGTAGGATGATGCAAGTCCTCTCTGCAGCCCATGGACCCATGATGTTCTGATCAAACACTGTTTTACCTTGGATGGTGGCCCCTAGGTTCTTCCTGTTTCTGCCCAGTTTGGAAGGTCAGTAATATTCCCGTCACTGCAGTCTCTGAGCAGGCTGATCACACCTGGGTATCAGATGGTGGCCTGCCCACCCCAGCACTGGGCAAGTGCCCCCTGCGCTTCCACACTCACACCTACCTAACGCGATACACTGTTTTTTGTCCTTTCCAAGCTTGTAGCCATCAGCACAGGAGCAATGGTAGGAATTGGTTCCTGGGTAGCAGAAGTGGTGACATCCTTCTTTCGCTTGGTGGCGACATTCATTTTTGGCTAAAGAGAACAAGCAGAGGAAAAGCGTTGGGAGCAGCTCTGCAGAGAGGGCTGTGGGGATGGTGACTGGCAGCAGGCTCAATAGGAGTCGGCACTGTGCCCTGGCAGCCATCAGGACAAACCACATCCTGAGGGGCATCAAACATAGCATGGCCAGCCAGCCAAAAGAGGTGATTATCCTGCCATGTTCAGATTTGGTGTGGCCTCATCTCAAGTACTGTGTGCAGTTCTGGGCCCCACAACTTAAGTAGAATGTGAAGGTCCTTGAGTGCATCCAGAGGAGAGCAATACAGCTGGTGACAGGGATGGAAAGACTGTCCTATTAGAAGCAGCTAAGAATTTGGGTTTGTCTAGTTTGGAGAGAAGGATGCTGAGGAGTAACCTCATTGCTCCCTAGACCTTCCTGAGGCAGTGAAGTGGGATGTGCTGAGCTCTTCTCCCTGGGATCCAGTGATAGGACAGATGAGAATATTCATACCTGAGCCAGGGGAGGTTCAGACTGGACATCAGGAAGCATTTCTTTACCAAGAGGGTTGTCACACACTGAAACAGGCTTCCTAGATAGGTGGTTGATGCCCCAAGCCTGTCAGTGTTTAAGAGGCATTTGGACAATGCCCTTAATAACATGCTTCAACTCGGTCAGCCCTGATTTGGTCAGACAGCTGTACTAGGTCATTGTAGGTCCCTTCCAACTGAATCTGTTCTATTCTATTCTATTCTATTCTATTCTATTCTATTCTATTCTATCCCTATCCCTATCCCTATTCAGCTGCAGTTTCACTGCATAGCTTGTGTCCTCTTTACTAAGCAATTTATATTTACTTGCTTTATATGAAAGTGGGTAAGGGGCTCTGGCTCAGTTGTTTCCCACCACAATGGTTTTCCCCTCATTAAGCAGCTAAGTTTCTGCAGCTTCCACAGTTTCATTGCAAATTGTATTCACCCAGGTCCTTTCTGCACCAGCCTGTCTGCACCTCTTGAATTTTGGGGAGCATTAGTAGCCAAGAGTCAAACTAGGCCTTCCATGTGAACCCATGAAAGGATGCCATCAGTTTTCCTTCTGCATTCTTAAAGAAAACACTAAGCATCTGCAGCAGGGAGAACTGTTGTACATGCAGAGAACGCAGGTACAGCTTGAGGAAGAAAAAGGCTGACACTTCCTGCTTTTGAGTAAAACAAAAATAAAAAATAATAATACATGCTTAGCTCTTATTTCTCATGCCTGTGCTAAGAAAATTCAAAATAACAGCTGCCAAATATAAGGGGGAAAAAAAAAAAAAAAAAGGGAATATTAACCACCTTTGAAACATGCTCAGTCAACTTTCCATGGCTGAGCAGACATTTAAGCTTCAGTACAAAGCAACAGGAGTTACAGCCACTTGATGGTGGATGTAGCTCACAGATGGAGAAGCAGCAAAAAGCTCCAAATAAAGAGTTTTTCTAAAGCTCATGATGGACCCATCCGGGTCCCAGCATGGCTCCAAGCTGTGTCACCTTCAGTGCTCCCCAAGAAGCTGGTCTGTCTCTGTGCAGTCACACCCCTTATACAAAAGATGACCCTGCCCTGCAGCAGCTGGGGCGTTTCCCACCCCAGGGGACATCTGAGCCAGCAGAAATACTGATGTAAGGGCTGGAAAGTAGAACCTGGCAGATGTAAAAATGTAGGATCTGTCCCAGGGTGTTTCACATGCCAGAAAGTGTCCATTTCACTTTATGCATTTTGCACTTCCACTGAAAACAATTTGTTTTAGGCTCATAGAATGGTTTAGGCTGGAAGGGACCTTAAGGATCATCAAGTTTCAACCCTTCTGCATGGGCAGAGACTTCCTGCTAGACCAGGTTACTCAAAGCCCCATCCAACCTGTCCTTGAACGTTTCAAGAGAGGGGGCAGCCACAACTTCTCTGGTCAACCTGTGCCAGTCTCTCACCACCCTCAAAGTGAAGAATTTCTTCCTAATCTTTAATCTAAATCTAACTCCCTTCAGTTTAAAACCATTCCCCCCTTCTTCTCTTGCTACATGCCCTTGCAAAAAGGGTTGTTCTGGGGTTTTTGGGGGGTTTTGTGTGTGTGTTCTGTTTTATTTTTTCCTTACTAAAGTCCCTCTGTCCCATGGGCCTGTCTTGTGTGCGTCTGGGGCCTCGGAAGCACCAGGATGCCCCGGTTCTTCAGGCCACACACCACCTGGGACAACGGCAGAGCAAGCAGCCAGAGAGCACGGGTAGCAGTGGGCAGGGCTGCCTTTGGAGCCCACCTGTGAGGGAGAATTGCTCCAGCCCTTTTCCTGCTTCCCCAGGGAGAGGAGGCTCAAGGGGAAGAGGCAGCCTGAGCAACCTCCTGTCGGCATAAGGTGTGGGTAGACAGGCAGGGCACATCCCCTGGGCTCTGCCAAGGGCTGTGTGCTCCCTAAGAACGGGAAACTGCCTGTAACAGGAGAGCTGCCCGTGGTTCAGCCCCCACGCCAGGAGGAGAGGGGGGATGCCTTACCAAAAGCGCAGTTCTCTCCCTCGTAGCCCTCGGCACAGGTGCAGGTGTAGCCGCGGATGCTGTCCTGGCACACGCCGTTGTGCTGGCAGGGGCTCGATGAGCATCTCCTGCCACCTGCAGAGACGCCACAAGAGAGGGAAGGACCAGTTGCCACCATCGCTGACCCACCCGAGCAACGCGGCCCCCGCCCCAGCACCGGAGCTGCTCAGGGAAGCCTTGTGAAGAGCAGGTTGGGAAGAACACCTTACTGAGCTATTCCTCAGGAGCAATTTTATCTCAAGTATCTGCTTCCAGAGGTGCTCCCGCAGCCCTTGGCAGGGAGGCCGGGAAGTGCCTGGAGGCAGAGCCTGATTCTGGAGGACTGATGCTCTGCTTCATGGAAAAGGGCTGACTTACAGTTCATGGCCAGTTTCCCCTTAAGCTGCCCACTGGAAAGACTCCAAAAGAGTTTGGAAATGTTCTCCAAACAACAGCTGCTTATTGTAGATATGAGCGATCAGGGAGAAAGCCAGAAAAGCCTAATCTGGGACATTATCGCCAACCTTTCCAAAATGTAAACCTTCATTAAAGAGGTTAACTTCAGTCAGCAGGCTGTCACAATTGAGAAAAGAGATGGAAAGGTGAAAACTCTGTCCAATACTGGGAAAATCCCACTAATCACCATCTGCTCAGATTATGGATATGTAGTTTTGCGAGTTAGCTGTCCTAAAATACTGGGTTAAAGCCATGCACCACCTTCAGCTGATCTTCAGTGAGGTGCCACCAGCATAATTTAGGTCTCCTGGGAGGGTTTTTGGGTTGGCATGAGGGGATCTCATCAGCACAGCTGAACTGGCAGAATTGAGAAGTGAGGACCTCCAGCAGCAGTGATGGGTAGCTGGAACTAGGAAGGGCTACACCTACAGCCTCAAGCACATTCTATGGTTTTAAGCCTTTGAAATAAGCTCAGATATAAGTAAGTATCAAAAAATATCTGGGGTCAAGTGGAGCTCTGTAGGGTGGGGAAAAAAGTAGACCTAGTGCCTAGCTTTATTAAAGGGGGAAAGAGAAGATTCCAGGAATTACAAAGAAACCAGCACGGTTTCTGTTACTGGAAAGTTGGAAGGATTAAACTCTTTGTAAGCACCAAACAAAATAAGAAGGTCATAAGTAACAACGAGCAAACCTTTTTCAAGATTAAATAATCCAAACCAGTTAAATCTAATTGTATTACAGAATAAGGGACACAGTGGGGAATCAGTAAATATCATATAATAGAAATATCTCAAATGACATTGTCACTAAGTGAGCGAGGAAAACAAAGAATACTATAAGGCAGGCACAAAAGTCTTTGGAAAATGATGCATTGAGAGGTTATCAACAGATACATGTATTCAGTTAATAGAAGAGGGTCAGGGACACATGTGACCTCAGGCCAAGTGCCCTGACAGCATTAGAGCAAGATGCTGCTAAATCAGCTTTGACTCAAAGAGATCAATGTAGAGCAGTACCAAAGAGAGCCAAAGAGTGAGCCAGCACTGAGGGATGTGCTCAGCTTTTCTCCCCAGCCCTCTTTTACTCACAATGCAGATTTACCCACTGGCCTGCGGAGGGAAAGCAACACACACACCAGGGGTCTAGAAAATGTGGCTTTGGAAAACAGGATGAAAACATGGGTTTGTTTAGTGTGGAGGGAAAAAGCCTTGGAGATGCAGAGCAACACTCTTCAAAATGTTAGAAAATATAACACAAAGAAGGAAATGCACGTTGCTGTTCTGCAGGAAGAAGGCAGAGCATAATGGCTTCTAATTACTGCAAGGAAGTCACCCCTGAGGTTGAAGCCAGTAATGTGTCCTGATTGTGGCTGAGCTTGTTTGGATGTACCATTCTCAACTGATTGTCTCTCTCTCCTCAGAGGGGAAGCCTTCATGATGTGCTTAGTACAAACATTCAATGACTGAAATTAGAAGTTAATCCCACCCTCACAGGAGTAATGAAAGACCAGATATTTAGCATCATTCTTTGTAACATTTATATCACTGGTGGGATTCTTCTCTGTAACAATTTCCTGGACTCAGTGTTTTAGTGGCTCCTGCAGAAAATTTATACTAACTACTGGTTTTGTCACCTCCTTATCCACTACCTAGACCTACGATTATAGATTAATGTAAGCTAAGTTAAAAACAAGAGAAAAAAAATAGGATGATGGATACAGAAGAGGGAGGGAATAGGGCATAGTCACCCTGAGCTGGTGCCCCAGACTCCTTGTTCAAGAGGCACCTAGTTACACCAGCCCCTCAGCTTTTGCAGATTTGTTTCATTCCTTGAAGACTACCAAGGTGCAGTGCCAGCACTGAGAATCTGCAGAAAGCCCAGTAGTTTCTAACACCTCTTTATGTCACTAAGATTTAAGTGCTAGGTTTGTATTTGGGAGGTTTTACTGGTAAAGCTCTGCTGCTCTACTCTATCAGCAAAGCAGGTCCCAGGTTCTTTCAGAACAGCCTTAAGTTCAGGAAAAGAAAACAGCCTATTTACTTTGGCAGTATCTACTCACCTTCAACTTTTATTCATTTCAAAGTCTTTAAAGTTTTTTCCTCATTTATTACTTTCTTAAAAACTTCCACATCAACACTTTTCCTTCTGGTTTGCTAGAAACATGACAAGTAGTGAACTGGATGTTTCTTGAAGAAGAAACTGCTAACAACTCTCAGAAAAACAACATTGAACTGAAATTATAATGTTCACAGTGTGACACTGCTATGAAGGAGAGAAATCAAGAGGGCAACTTACCATAATAGGCTTCCCAAAACATTTGCTGGGAAAAAAAAAAGGACATAGAATTTTTAATTTTCAAATAATATAACCTGGCATAAATATTTTTGGTAAAACAAAAATATTACATGAGAGAATGTAATGTACTATGGTTTAACATTTCCACAGCTGCACAACTACAAATTCTGTCCTGCCAGCAAAATCTGCATGAGACAGGAGGGGGTTTGCATCCTGCTTATTTTATTGCTTCTTAAGAAGCTAGAAAGGAAAAGAAACACTTTGCAGGCAAGAGGGGAACAGCTGGATCCTTTAGCTATATGGTTTCCTGGAAAAACTGACCAGCCATTGTCTCTCTGGTGTGCAGTAGCCTGGGAAGTGACCCTGTCCCACCCCACTTTGCTTGGCCCCCAGCAGGTGCTGCTGGAGGCAGAGGGGACAGCAGAGAGTAGAACTGCAGGTCACTGGCACTGGTCACTGCCTTCCTGTGACAACCTTTTCTCTGGGCACACACAGCCAGCTCTGCCTCTGCTTTTCCCAAGGGAACACCCCTCCTTGCTCCCTGTACCTCCCTTCCATGAACTTTCCCCAGAGCACCTGGAAAACCCACAGCAACCCAATGGCTGTTTCCTCTGCTTTCCCCACAAACATGACCTCCAGCCATGTTCCTCTTAAAGAGCACAGCATCTGGCTGTATGTGTCAGGAGCACCTCTTGTACAAGGGGGCTGGCAGCTGCTGACCAAGTGCGCCTCTTTCTATAGCTCCCACCCCTTGCTGGTGCATTGCTTCCCTCCAAACCAACACCCCCTTGCCCCTCCTGGTCCCTGCAGGATGCTGAAGTTGTATTTATGTGTGTGGCCAGGATGGGACCACAGCCACGCATGTTCACAACATAAGATGCAGAACACATGGTTTTCAGGAGGGGACTTTAAAAGGGCTTGGGTTGACCTCTGCATTTCCATTTTGACTATTAAAGACGCCTGCTTTCTGTCTCCTGAGGTGGAAAGTGCAAAGTTTTCACATGGAGAGAAGCCCCAAAAATGTACGCAGGCTGTGGAGCTGTATTTGAGAGTAAAGAACCAAGGCAGTAACTTTTATTATGCACACAGGAAAATAAAGTACTTACAAGCATTTCATCATTTTCAAATACTTCTCTTGCTTCTTCATGTGTACATCTCTCTTCAAAGCACTCCCTTTCCAAGTGGCCTTGGAGGACCTCTTCAAAAAGCAGGGAACTGGCACGCCTCTGTCTCCTGATAACACTGTTTGCATCATCAGCTGATATAAACACTGAAACGTTGTGTGACAAAACACTGACGTAAGTATGTACATTCACTTCCTAGTATGCCTTTACCTTCTTTTTAAAAAGATAAATCCTTTTGACTGATTCAGGGTTTCAGCCACATTAAACTTACATACTGCAAGAGCCCTAATTTCTTAGTCCAAATTCTGCTGAAGGGACCTTTTACTTCTGAGGAGTGCTTGACTTGCTCTCAAGTAGAGAGAATTTGAAGCTCTTCCCAACAGACCTTTTTCCCTGCACCAGACACACAGAGCAGTGTTGCTGTGGCAGGGTCAGGGAAATGGGGAAAGTATTATTTATCATAAAGGCAGAGGTTATTTTGTAAGAGTGCATGAGGCGTTCAGACACACCAGGAGAAGAGAAAATTATTTGTATTAATTCCTAGAATCATTAAGGTTGGAATAGACCTCTGAGATCATAAAGTCCAACTGTCAACCCAACACCACCATGCTAAGTAAACAACATCCTGAAGTGATACATCCACACTTTTTTTTAACACCTCCAGTGATGGTGACTCCACCACTTCCCTGGGAAGTCTGTTCCAATGCCTGACCACTCTTTCAGTAAATACATTATTCCTAATATCTAACCTAAACCTCCCCTGGTGCAAATTGAGGCCATTTCCTCTTGTTCCATCACTAGTTACATGGGAGAAGAGACCAAGACCCACCTTTCTACAACCTCCTTTAATGGAGTTGTAAGGAGGGATAAGATCTCCCCTCGGCCTCTTTTTCTGCAGACTGAACAACCCCAGTTCCCTCAGACACTCCTCGTTAAGACTAGTACTTCAAGTGTATGGATGATGATGGATTCAAACTGATGCCCTTCAGTCTTAGTTCAGGGAGGATTTCTTCACTGAGAAGCAAAACCTTAACAGAGATGAGATCTCAATCAAATCTGTCTTAAGGTGAATAAGTAAAAGCTATCCCTCAGCAAGGCTTCCAATTAGGAGGGCTACATCATATAGCATTCTATTTGTGGAAGACACAGTAATAATTTTGATTTGAGTAAAGAGGAGGAAAGATCAAAGTCATGAGAGTTTTCAGATCATAAAAGTTCTCTTTGCAATGATGCCCACAGCAAAATCTGCCAGCCAGCTGGATGGCTGGTGCTGTGCTGGAGCCTCTTGCCTTTGACATGAAGCAGTATGCAGCTGTGTGTGTGTCAGAACATGTTTGTTCTCCTGTGCTTGGAAAGTAAACCCCTTGCAGCAGGGACTGTTGTTTTTGTTTTATTTTTTTTTCCTGTTATTTTATAAAGCACTGCTAGGTACAAATCTTGAAAAATAATCATTAATATTAGAACTGGGGAAAGTGACATCAATAACAAAATCATTCTAAAACTGCCTGCAAATGACTACTTATGTTTTTGAGGGATATCCAATAGGCAACAGACTTCTATGCGAGATTAAAAAAGAAAAATAAGGTGCTTCATGTTTGTGTTTTGCAATTTAAGAAGTTATCTGACACCCCAGTGCACGTTTCTGCTGTGTGGTGTTTCTGATACATCGGGCATAACTGGCAGTGCTCTTCTGCTGATGCTGCCAGGGGTGTTTTGACCTTCTTAAGGAGTCACCACCTTTTGCTTCCTCACCCAGCTTCTCCTTAATACTGACAAAGCATGGAAGTCTAATGCAGAAACATACATTTCTTCAAGCTATAACAAGCATGCACCTCAGTCTTTTTCATAAGACTTTTTTTTTTTATTTCAGCAGTGACCGGAAATATAAAACAACATTATATTTAATATCTGGACACTCTTTATGAATAGTAAGGAAAGACAAAGCAGCACCTTGGCATAAATGATGGTAATTCATAATTGTATTGCCTTAGTAACCTACTGCAGTTTTAACCTAAATACATGCATTAAAGCTAAACTAAACTAAACCAACAAACCAGGAGAAATGTAAGGAAAACTAGGAAAAGTTTTCAGTGGAAACAACCTGTGCTACAAAGTAAACATGATACAAGGTACAAAAATACTGGAGTGCTCAGAAGAGCAGTAGCACAGATCAAAATTAAAGCCACAACCAAAGCAAAGGCCATACCTGTCTGCTCTGTTTGAAGGAAAAGGGCAGAGAGAAGAAACAATATTGTCCAAGAGCACCTTGCCATGGTTACCCTGGGAGCCTAATTGCTGCCAGCCCTTGTCTCTGCAGCTCTTGGGCAAATGGCTACATGGGAGATGTTGAAGTTTAAAGTCCAGCTGCTCATGAGAAAACACAGCCTCTCAGGCCAAAGCCTGTCCTCAATGTCAAAACACGAAAAGCCTCAAAAAAAAACCCTGCTTAGTGGTGCAACAGTGCCCCTTCTCTTAGTGCTCTGGCAGAAGGTGGAGCAGGTTTGCCTGCTCTGCTGAGAGCTGCTCCAAGATTTGGGTACACCTCCCAGCCTTCACTTAGAGTAACACAAACAGGGAGAGGTGAACAGTATGAACATTTCTTTACACCATATCAAAGCACAAGCTGGATGATGACTACAGGGATCAGTTTTGTGGCATGGCTCTTCCATACACTGTCCCCAACAAACATTTGCCAAAGCTTAGCCACACTGATCAAATCTCACTGGTATTTGGAGCATCCAAGCAACCAAGTGTGGGATATCCCCCACAGGGATGTATCTGAATGAAATGTTAGGTTTGGACTGCCCAGCTATAAAAGTGAGCACAGGAAACGGTTCCTGACATCAGGATCCTGGTCACACACAGACACATGGACACACAGTCTGTGTAAGGAGACATAAGCATGAAGAGGGCGGGAACACCTCCCTGGGCTGCTGTGACACACACATAACAGCACTCTTCCTGCCTGGCCCAGGAGGAGAAGAAGGATTTGAGCTTTGGAATGCATGGGCTGGGTGGGCTCTGCCATGGCAGTGGTGCTGCAGGGAGTGGTTTGTTTTCCGGCACAGGCAGACTCCTGGAAAGAGCAGGAAACCATTTCTGCAGTCAAAGCAACAACCGGTGAGAGGAAAAGCATTGGGTTTTTTGGTGGATTTTTTTTTGCATTATATATTTTTTTAATATGAGTTAGAAACATAGACACCACATTCTGTGTTTTCAAGTCATCAATCCCAGCTGTTATTTGAGTATGCAGTCCTTGTAACAAAGTATAACTGATCTGGGCATTCATGGGTAAATCCTCAAATAAAACTTCATATCAGCTGCAGTTTTTAAAACCGGCTTCAGTGACTACTAAGGCAGATGAGCAAGACTGAAGCAGACCACATACCTCACCAAGGACAGTCCTGGCCAGCCCCAAGACCCTGACACCTTCAGCAAATCATTAACCTCTGCATAAAACCTCCTTTGTGGGTTGTCTTTCCCCCACAGTCTTTGTAGGGCCATTGTCCCAGAAGTTCACTCAGAATAAAAACCCTTCTAATACTAAGCTTGATTTTATTCACAACCTGTTCATAACCTTACATATTTATTTTTCTCCCATTAATATTTCTGCTCCATCTCCCATCCTCTTTGGTTAACTCGGTGTCAAGATTTCTTCAGTAAATGAGCTCTCCATGCTCTCCTCAGTCCCTTGATGCTACCAGGCCCCTCTGTACCTGTCCCAGGCAGTGATTTCTTGGCTGGGGAAAGCAGGGGCTATTCCCAGTGGTCACATCTGGTGGGTACTGGGGGGGCTTCAGCCAGTACCTCGTGTGTCCAACAGCTGCTAGAGGCTCACCTCACCCTCCTCACATTGCACGATGGCAGATTTGTTGCTATTCCAAGGCCAACTATCTCCACGGGAGCCCCTCCAGTGAGGCTGCTACCACAATCACCCTGCAGCCCCTGTCTACTTACCTTTACCTTCTCATAATAACAAATTTTTCCCTCTGCCTATGCAGTACAGGAAGTCTGACTCCCTTCAGCATGAAAAATATGTCACCACTTGATGTCAGCAAAGGACTTTGCAGAGTGCAGCACAAAAATGCTGATCTGCAGATTTACTTTCTTAAATCAAACTGTTTACATTTTGCAAACCTGTGTCATAGAATCATATCATAGAATGGTTCGGGTTGGAAGGGACCTTAAAGATCATTTAGTTCCACCACCCCTGCATGGGCAGGGACACCTCCCACTAGACCAGGTTGCTCAGAGCCCCATCCAGCCTGGCCTTGAAAACTTCCAGGGAGGGGGCAGCCACAACCTCCCTGGGCAACCTGTGCCGGTGTCTTACCATCTTCACAGGAATTTTTTTTTTTCTGATGTCTAACTTAAATCTACCCTCTTTCAGTTCAAAGCCATTACCCCTTGTCCTGTTGCTGCATGCTCTTGTAAAACTCCCTCCCCAGCCTTCCTGTAGCCCCTTCAGGTGCTGAAAGGCCACTATAAGGTCTCTCTGGTGCCTTCTCTTCTCCAGACTGAACAACCCCAACTCTCTCAGCCTGTCTTCATAGCAGAGGTGCTCCAGCCCTCAGATCATGTTTGTGGCCCTTCTCTGGACTCCCTCCAATAAGCCCATGTCCTTCTTATGTTGGGGGCTCCAGAACTGAACACAGTACTCCAGGTGGGGTCTCACAAGAACAGAGTAGAGTGGGAGAATCAGCTTGTTTTTTATGATGCAGCCCAGGATAGGGTTGCTGGGCTGCAAGAACACATTGCTGGCTCATGTTAATGTCAATTGAAGAACTCTTGTAGGGATAAGGTAATTATTAAATTAGCTTAATAATAACAACACAGATGTCTTCCCATCAGAACTTTGTTTACACATTCATTTTTTCTTGCTGTTTTGTTTTGTTTGTTTTTGTTTGGTTTTTTTTACAGCATATTCCTTGACTGAGCAGCTGTGTCCTTGGGAGTGGACCACGATGTACTCAGTACGTTATGTCACTGACTTTGTTTTTTCTGTATTAAGATCAATACAACAGGTTTTGTATTTTGATTTTCACCTTACTACAGAAAATTGCTTAAGAAGAGGGTTTTAAAAGGGCAGTCCTTCTCTCACATCTTTCTTAATGAAGAGTTACATATTTCTTTTTTCATTCCTTCAGTTATTGCAGTGAGCACATGGCGACATGTTTCATTAAGGAGTTCATACCCTATTCCCTGTAGCCCCAGCTGAGGTTTTCCTCCTTCTTAAAGGGTGACTCTTTCCCGTGTGAAGGC